GCGAGAGGCATGACACGAATCTTGCAAGATAACATAGCAATACCGTTATCTGCCAACTCATCCTCGTATAGCATTACTTCGTCGAAAAAGAGGATAGGATCTGGTCGCTTTAGGAGCTCAATAGGAATAGGGGATGAGGACGATTCGAATGGCTTCGAACCCGGAGAGAGAGTGCCTTTGTAATCCGTGCTGTAGGACCAATCGAACGGTTTGACTACTTCTTTAATTCCTTCATGCGTGTTTTCTCTAGGCAAAAAATAAACAACTTAGTTCCTGTGTCCAAATCGTACCATTTTCGACCGAAGACATTATGACAGTATTCACCTGCTCTGCTGCCACTCTTTCGAATAAGCCACCTTTAGCATTGTCTCCCCAGTTTTGTCCACGCGGTCCAAGGCATCAAAAGCGTTGAAACCCAGTTTCCACCCCGAGGGTTGGTGCTCGATTGTGGCGTGGTTGTCGCCAAAGATCATCTCTGGAGGCGCAATGCCCAATTTTGTAGTCATCTCATCGATTGGACCAGCTTTGAGTATTGGGAGTTTTTGAGTTGTTATTTTGAATCCATATCTTGTAATTGAATTGTCTTTGGAAATATTGGCAGAGGGATACTGGGTATCTGGAGATACGCCATTGGAGGCCATTTTATGGAGTATGGGTGATAAATATTTGTCAAAAATACCTAGACTAGCCGTTGCGACGAACTACCTAGGTAGTCAGTTAGTTGTGCATTATCGACCAATTCGAAGCACACATATGGAGCTCAAAAGATCCCACAGCTGGGAGTTGGCTTTGCTCAGGTGAGGTTCTTGCTTGTTAACTGAATTTGGAGCATTGCCCCGCGAAATGCCAAGAATAACGCCAAGAACGGGGAAACGGAGTGATGTTGATCCGATGGTTGCTGTGGTGACGGTTTGACACACCGACGGGAGTAAATAAAGGCGGAGCCGACTTGCGGCTTTACAAAGATCAATTCCTCCATCCATCGCAGAAAAGATAACTGTAAAACAGAAAGATATTCAGAGAAGCTCTTCATTTATCTTTTTTTCTCCCTGGGCGTCTACCATTTTTATTTTTTTACCTTCTGCCATAATGTCGAAAACACTCGAGGCTCGGTTTGAGCATCTCTCCGTCAATGACGAAAATGAACCTCCCAACACCACCACACACTATCATAAATCAAAAGTATTATACCTCATCACATACACACATTCATATATACATTACATACAACAATTGCTATGAGGATGTGTTGGCTAATACTATAAGTAGGGCCAACACACTACCACGGCTTCGATAAGCTCATCAACCTCATCAACACAGCTGACCAGCAACCCGAACCGCTCAAATCTACTAAAATACGCTCTACAAAACAGCAACGGCTCGTCTCCCCGTAAGCCTCAAGGGAGTGTCAGCTTGGTTTCCTCTTCCCGTAACTCCACTGAGGAAAACCCGGCGGGCAGCCGTACTTACATTCCCTTCTACGATCAGCCTACCGCCCCAAAGAAATTCCATCTGGGAATGTTCGAAATTGGGAAGCCCCTTGGTAAGGGAAAGTTTGGGAGAGTATATCTTGCAAGAGAACGATCGACTGGCTTCGTTTGTGCTCTGAAGGTCTTGCACAAAAGCGAGTTGGTCCAGGGCAAAGTTGAGAAGCAACTACGGCGAGAGATCGAGATTCAGAGCAACTTGAGACATCCCAATATATTGCGCTTATATGGCCATTTCCATGACAGCAAACGGGTGTTTCTAATTCTCGAGTTTGCGGGGAATGGAGAGCTGTACAAACACCTACGAAAGGAGAACCGATTCCCTGAGTGGAAGGCTGCCCAATATATCGCCCAAATGGCTGCTGCATTAAAATATCTGCACAAAAAACATATCATGCACCGCGATATCAAGCCGGAGAATATACTTGTGGGCATCCACGGCGAAATCAAGATAAGCGACTTTGGCTGGAGCGTACATGCCCCAAATAACAGGAGAAATACCATGTGCGGCACTTTGGACTACCTACCTCCAGAAATGCTCAAACCTGGATTGCAGGACAATTACTATAACGAGAAAATCGACCTGTGGAGCTTGGGTGTGCTCACGTACGAGTTCCTGGTTGGCGAGGCACCGTTTGAAGACACGCCGGTCATGACACGGCGGAGGATAGCGAGGGGTGAGATGAAGGTGCCGTCATTTGTGAGCGCGGAGGCTAGGGATCTTATCAAGAAGGTTAGTCTAGCACCATTCTGTTAACAGAAGATTGTTAATCGCTAACCTCAAGTAGTTATTGGTCCTCGATCCAGAACAGCGAATTCCTCTGGATGAGGTCCAACAGCACCCCTGGATCATTAAACACTGTGTCAAAGGCGAGAGGGCAGCCAAGCGAAGTTCAGGAAATAGCCGTAGTAAAGAGTAAATTCAAATTCACCACCTTCAGCCTTTTTCTCCCGAGCGTTTCTGGTATTGAGTTTGCAAGGTGTCTGTGTGTTTATCAAGCGGGTGTATGGAGTATGATTGATGTCCGTTTCTAAGCTTCGGGGTTGATGATCGGAGACATGGCGTTAATTTCATATGGATAATAGTCATTTGTGTTGTTTCAGCAGCTGTTTTGAAGTTTTTGGTCTTTCTGCCGGGGAAATGAGTAGTCTATTAGGGAACCCAAAAAATCAATCAATCCAAAAATCAAAACACCGCCTTTCTCTGCAAGATACGCTAGTTCGAGCCTTCCCACTGGAATTCATATAATACTGTATAAGAACAAAAATAGGGGAAAAGTAACTCCAAAACACCCAAATCTCTCTTCCTTATCGATAAATTTCATCGAAGGGGCGGGTATCTCGAAAACAGCTGTCCCAAACTTCATCCACGACCTGTTTTGCGTGCTCTGCATCTTTGCAGGCCGGTCGTGCCATGACTGACAAGGCCGCGCGCCGCCGCACGCATTCTTGATGTTGCTGCGTTAACTTCCACTGGCCTCGTCGGAAGAACTCTCGCGCCCATCTACATTCTCCGCTTAACGAACTCGCACGGATCTAATAACATGCAAACCAATGAACGGTTAGGATATATGCAGTTATATTGAAATAAGAAACTTGAGAGGAAAGATAGACAAACCTCAGTGCAAGCAGCGTGTCTCAGATTATCCGTCCAATCCAACTTGAACCGTAAATGATCGTACGCATGCATCATCTCATGTGCCATTGTATCCTCTAGATGTCCCTGGTCCTTCATTGCATTTGCGCATATCCGTATGCCGTACTGCGGGTCGAAGCCGCCGGCTTGTCGCTGCGTGCAACGACGGCAATGGATATTGTGACTGGATATATCGCCTCCCAGTTGCCTGATGTTATCTTGGAGAAATCTGATTATGGGACCTGGATCCAGAAGAGTTATAAGTGTAAGCAGAAAACGTAACGGAAACCCTCCAAACATGTCCACCAGAATTTCCGCATTGGGACAGCACAAACGTACTGTACTTTATAAGATAATCACGCTGATCCTCACAACGTTTACAATCATTTTCTTCATTTCGAATAATCCCGCGCCAGTAGAAATTGTTCCTTTCCCTCCTCCGTCATGTTGCCGGTCAGAATGGAGAACATGTTCTTCATCTGTGTCCAAGTGTCATCGCCTGGTGTGAAGCCGGTGTCCTTAGAGGGCACCGGGGTGTCAGGACCGGCACCTAGCGAGTTCGTACCCGCCATTCGTTACACGGTGGAAATTAGTTTTGTTATGCACCTAGTAATGTCAATAAACAATTCCTGATCGGAATTTCAAATGTGATCGATGTTAGGGCGTGAAGAAGATCTGCCCAAGAGCGGTGAAGAGAGGCAGAAGAACATGTGCCAATACTAAATTATACCTAGCCGAGACGATCATTTTTACCGACGCCCCTATGACGGGACCCAGGGACACACAGCAGGTGTTTTATATACCTTCAAGATCCTGGATTCGTTTTCATATCCCCCCTCCCTTCCTGGAAGGGGCCCTCATGGATATGAGCGCCCGACTTCCAGGCAAGGAGAATTCCCTAGTAACGACGATAGAGACAATATGAAAGGTCAAAAGGCGTACACGATTGTTATTAAACTCGGTGGGTGTTCTTTAAGAAAAAAGAGCCTTGAAACCATTCTTTTTATCGCTCTTCTCGATAAGAAACTGATTGTCTGGATTAAACTAAAAGGGACGAGTTCAATCGTTGACGAAGTTACGCATGAACCCATCTTGTCCATTCTAACTCTCATTGTCGAGACCACAGCTAAACTTCTAAGAGATGGACATCGAGTCATCATCGTCTCTTCGGGTGCTATCGGAGTTGGCTTGCGAAGGATGGATGTTGACACTCGACCAGCACATCTTCCTCGAATACAGGTTCGCATTGTAGCAGTATATGCCAATACTTGAGCGAACTCACTAATCGTGGATATGGCTAACCTCGACTCCAGGCTCTGGCGGCTGTTGGGCAATGCAGACTGATGAGTCTCTGGGATAGTCTGTTCGCGCATTTGCGACAACCCGTGGCTCAGATTTTATTAACAAGGAATGACATTGCGGATGTGAGAGTGTTCCCATATCCATGCACTCTAGATGGTCCAAGAAACGGGACGATTATGGAGACTAATCCGGACAATTTGCAATCAGACAACGCAATATCATAACGCACAAAATACGCTTACGGAGCTTCTGAACATGGGAGTGGTTCCGATCGTGAATGAGAATGATACTTTGGCTGTTTCGGTAGGTGCTGCGATGATGAGCTGGCGATGGATAGAGGTTTAGTTGCTGCGACGAATACTTATTTATGATGTATCTCGGATAGGAAATCAAATTCGGGGACAACGATACCTTATCTGCCATCACCGCTGGTATGGTTGGAGCAGACTACCTGTTCCTAATGACAGATGTCGATGGCTTATACACATCTAATCCCCGCACCAACCCAAACGCACAGGTTATCGAAGTGGTATCTGACATCTCCACTCTCACAGCCGACGTATCTTCCGCAGGCTCCTCATTGGGAACCGGCGGGATGAGTACGAAAATAGTTGCAGCACGCCTAGCGACAAGTGCTGGTGTTACAACTATAATAACTCGTAGTTCACTCCCAGGCAATATCCTCGAGATCATCAGATATCTACAAGATAAATCACAGAACTCGTCATCAGAAACACCCGCTCTGGATGAGAAGTCCGCCTCTCCTCCGAGATCAACACCCCCATCCCCATCCTCAGCAAAATCATCACTGCCAGCACACACCTGCTTCCTACCCTCAACCACCCCAATTCACTCCCGCTCATTCTGGATCTTGCACGGCCTCGCCCCTCACGGCACAGTCTACATCGACGCAGGTGCCTACTCCGCCACCCTAAACAAGGCTAGCCTACTCCCCGCAGGCGTTGTGGGCGTTGAGGGCCACTTCGGCCAGCAAGAAGCCGTGAGACTTGTTGTCGTCGAGCGCCGCTCAGCCTCTGCCGCCGCCCTCAACGGCGATTTCCCTCTCCGGGGTGCGTCGCCCCGGGAAGTCGGGCGAGCGCTGGTAAATTACGGTAGCAATGAAATTGCGCGCATTAAGGGCCTGCGGAGCACGCAGATCCTATCTGTGCTGGGATATGCGGATAGCGAATATGTGGCGCTGAGGGAGAATATTGCATTCTTTGGAGCGACGGAAAGAACGAGTCGTTCTGCAACGCCAGTGTTGGATGATGAGTTTCGGGTTCGTAGTGGGATACCGTTGCGGGAGGCTTGATTTGAGATATCTTCCTTGGGCCTCGAGTTGGATCTGTTGAGTGATTTCGATACTTTTCTCCCCCCTGGTGCTTTCAGGATGCATTGTCACAAGAAAATGGGAGCTGAGCTCGGAAGGTAAAGGTCCAAGCACATATTTTGATGGTATAATTGACTATCTTCATCTCTGTCTCCTTAACATATTAGATTCCCATTGTTCATCATCAGATACGTTTTTGGGTACATGCTCATGTTACTGATAACGCAACTGGACTCACAACTAGCGAATAGTATAAAAATGGCGGCGTTCTTCATGGTTTACTGTCGATGTTATATATATCCCCTTATCTATCTCACTATATAAAATCACAAAGAAATAGTTTGTTTGAATCGGTATAATCAAGCTGGGTTAATATATATTGCTCGCAGGTGTCCAATAAACTACAATCACCCGATTGCAAAGACACGGTTCTTTTGAGAAGGAAGGGATAGGAAGAGTTGTTAACAATACAGAAATGAACAATATATAAAACGTTGACGGTTGTCGCTCGCTACTTGATATACAAAGTGAATACAGCCATAATCCCGAACTCCGTAACCAGCCAATGATGCCTACCTAGCTGAACAGAGAACGCATAACGTATAAAACATACCACATAAAACATAACTGAACTTGGCGCTTCCAGATCAAAAAAACACAAATGGGAAAATTGAAATATGAAAAGGAAAAACAAGAAGAAAGGCAGAAAAGCAGAAAGAATGGATCATAGTTCCGACGCTAATCCTTCCACCTGTTCAAATATCTCTGGATTTCGTCGTCAACAGGAGCGGGCGCAGCGTGG